GAGTCCGTGGTGGGTGGGCACGGGGTGAGTGGGGAAGTGCCTGTGGCTGGAGCAGAGCACAGCCCGTCCACGGGGTGCCACTGTTGGTGGTGCAGGAGCTGATCCTCTGCTGAGCTGGTGTGAAATGTGCTGTCACAGCAGCACGGGGCAAGTGTGACCACGGGCAAGTGCTGGCACTCGCCAACCCTCACTCTCCTGGGTACCCGTTTCCTCCCCCCATTTTCCCACTCCCTGTGGATGCTGCTCCCCACCAGCACCATGAAAACATTAACTTCATAGAATCCCAGAGCGGTTTGTGTTGGAAGGGACCTTATAGCTCCTCCAGTCCCAATCCCCAGCCACGGGCAGGGACACCTTCCACTAGAGCAGGTTGCTCCAAGCCCCTGTGTCCAACCTGGCCTTGAACACTGCCAGGGATGGGGCAGCCACAGCTTCTCCGGGCACCCTGTGCCAGCACCTCAGCACCCTCACAGGGAAGAGCTTCTGCCTAATAGGCAGTTTGTCTGGTTCTTCCCCAATCCCGAGTGCAGTAACTAAACTGCACTTACCATGTGACTGAAGGGGTGCAGCTCCATCCCATGGACACTGCACACAAGCAGGAGTTTCCCAGGCATCCCTGTGTTTGGGGTGGAGGGAGGGAGACTTGGTGGATGCAGAGATGGGATCAGGAGGATCCTCCTTGCAGAGGAGCAGGGAACAGCAGCTGGGCCACAGCACACACCATCCCAAACAGCCACTATCCCCCCTTGCTCCTGTGTCCCCCCAGGTGCCGCAGCAGCATCACCACCACAGGGGAGTGTTTTGTCCCCTGCAGCTCCCCTGGGCACCACCAAGGCCATGGCCCAGCAGCATCCCCCGGAGTCCCTGACAGCAGCAAACCTTCTCCCCTTCTGATGAATATAGTCTTTTTATTGACTACTTTGGAGTAGAACAAACTAAATACATCTGTACCAGTCTGGGTTCCTTTATACAGTACATTAAATAAGTTATGCACAGGAATGAAGTAACAAATTCCTATTACAGAATTAAATGTCAAAAAAAAATAATAGAGAAACCTCAAGCCAACGTCTGCCCAAGTCTGGGGTTCACATTTATCATTCCATGTCAAACAAAAGCAATCGCTCTAATCACGACTGTTAGTATTTCATCCATGTACACTGGGGTTAATCTTAATACACCATCAGGGTTGCATGAGAATTATGGAAGACAATCTATGTACAAGCACCTTCCTCCTCTTCCCACATCCCACCTCACGGCATTAGGCCACCGCTGACCCGCAGGGCTGGGTCAGGGCAGAGGTGAGGGATGGGATGTCACAACCAGACGTGATTTACCTGAGGCTGCTCCCATTGTGTCCCCTTGAGCCCCCCGGGAGGGGTGCAGGGTGCAAGGGCAGCCCCTGCCCTGCTGCCCTCACACAGGCGGTTGCTGCTCGACACTGCGTCCTCGTCCCTGCCCCAGCCCTGGGCACAGCAGATCCTTGTGAGCTCTGCTGCGGTGGCAGGGACAGAGCTGCTTCTCAGGACCCGTGCACCGGGGCTGCCGCGGTTTGGGGCTCACCCGACCACCTCCATCGCTCCTGGGGTGCAGGACTCCGCGCTGGGTGACACCAGCTCCAGGCTGCTGCAGGTCAGGGCACTTCATCCCGGGGCGCAGCATCCTCGTGCCCGGCCCCCAGGAGCTGTGTCGGTGCAAAGGGCTCTGCTGTGGGCACGGGGGGGGTTGCTCCCAGCTGCCACCCAGAGCTGTCTTCAACACCAGGCAAAGACCCTGTGGCTTTGCTGTGTGATAAAACCTCACAGACACAGGAATCACCCAGCTCTATCCCATGACTGCAGCTTCCAGAACAGCTTTCCCTCAGGGACAAAGCTGGCTCAGTGGGTCACTCGTTCATCCCCGGGCAGCCAGCAGCCAGCTCCACCACAACAAGCTCTGGGATGATCCATCACATCTCCATTAATCACCTCCAATTGAAAAAGTGATAAAAACTAATTTGGGAATTACTTGCCTCATTGGGCTCCAGCCCAGGAGCAGCCACAGGAACATGGCTCTGCTGAATAGACGGTTCTCCAGAGCCTGTGGGTGTGCAGGGTGGGAGAATGGGGCAGCTCCCAGCAGGTAGATCCATTAGGACCTCAGGATCTCTCTGAAGCATCGAGATGAGCCCCACTGTGCCCTTTGTGGGGTTTGCAGTGCCCCAAATCCCTCCACATCACATCCTAAGTGATGGATCTTCCCAGGCCGGCCATGGCATCCCTGCAGGATCTCACTCTGCATGTCTGGGATGTGCCGAGGGCTGGACGAGGCAGTGGTGGCAGATCCCTGGGGATGAGGAGAAGAGCGCAGCCAGTGTCGGAGCAGCGCTGCAGGGCTGGGGGAAGAACCAATGTAGAAGGACACCAAGTCCTGTGTTTAGTTTGGCCAAGGCGTATGGAGAGCACAGACCATAAATAACAGTCCTGTGAGGATCTCTGTGGTTCAAAACAACAGCAGAAACTCCCAAACCAACAAGTTCCATGCAGTGAGAAACACAAAAGCTTTCTGCATAGCAAAGTAACAGAACCCAGGTGGGAAGGGCAGGAACTGCCTGCAACCAATCCAGGTTTGCTCTGCACACTCTCCCCCAGCAAAGGACCCACCAGGGCAACACACAACCATCCATCCCAACACCGAAAGGGATTAAAACCATCCAGAAGTGACAGTCCACAGTTCCCTGGTACCGACATTTGGTTTAGAGCAGATGAATCCCCTCCTCCCGCTCTGCAACCACCAGCTGCCAACCTGCAGGCAGAGGAGAAGCGGGCTCAGCTTTTGCCATTGCACTAGAGGACGAGATGCTCCTGCTGGGGAATCAGCTCCAGTCTGTTCACAGCAACACCCGGCCAGCACGGCCATCTGAGACACCGTGCCTGGGAGCCAGAGCGGATGCATACTGTGGAAGAAAGGAAGCTGAGGAACAAGCTTGGGCACGTCCGACCCACGAGGATGGAGCTCCCATTGTTCACCCCATGCTCAGCATCTCCTGCATGTGCCGGCAGTTCCCCACCTAGTCCAGGTACCCCCTGAGCAAGTGCCCAGTGTCCTCCAGTCCTGAAGGATGCTCTGGTTCTCCCTGCAGAGAGATGGGCACCGAGGTGCTGTGGGCAAGGTTCTTCATGAGCCACGGCAGGAAAAGGCAGAATGAGATGGCAAAGCCCAAGTGTGGGCGCTCCGAGGAGGCGGCACGATGTGTCAGATGTGTCACGGGATACAGGTTGCTGTGGGGTATTTTCTGGCTTAAATCCCCCCCCAGAAACTACTCAACTGGAGTGAACCCAAACTTCCCCTTCAGAGCCCGTTCGTGTCTATGGCTGTCACGGACGCCGGGGTGGAGGAGCGGGACGTGGTCGCCGAGGTCTTCTCAAGGGCTGGGCTGGGAACACCATCGAGGCTCTTGGCTGCGGAGCGGCCCGTGGGCAGGGCCAGGGGCTTGCTCTGGCCGTGCAGGCTCTGCCCGCAGATGCGGTGGTGCCTCTCCCAGTCCTTGTGCTGGCAGAAGGAGCCGCAGTACCGGGCGATGTTGCCGCCGCACTGGCTTTGCGACCGCAGTTCCAGCAGCTCTGCAAGACCAGAGACACCATCACACTTCAAAACGGGTTCAGTTCCCAAGAGCTGCGGGACGGTGCTGACTCAGCAGCTCTGAGGGGACCGTTCATCCCCCCTCTGGCCCAGATTTAGTAATATTAACATGAACAAGCCATTCATTCCTCGCGCTTTGCCAAGAAAAAAGGGCACTTACTAACCCCTACTCCTCTGCTCTGCCCAAACCTGCCTGCCAGACTGCACCGGTCACATCCTCCACCCAAATGCACAGAGGAAACAGCAGGCAAGGACTAAAAACCACGCTGCAGATGCTGCTATTCGGCCTTTTTATTTCCTGTTTTAAGCAGCTCTATTTTGGTCTCGCTCCCAGCCAAGTACCTCCACAGGGATTACAGCATGTTGTGCAGGCACCATTTGCTGTGCCCCCTGCCTCGCTGCACAGGAGGCTGGAGCAGGCTAATTTGGAAAGGAAAAACAGCTCCTTTGAAGCCAGGTGGAAGCAGCACCAGAGCCTGAGCTCCGCTCTGGAAGTGGAACAGAGCCCATCCGTCCGCTTCCATGTGAGCGCTGGGAGCTATGGCTGCTCCGGGAGGCAGCGCCTGGATCAGCTTTCCTGCAGCTGCATCCCTGTGTCAGGAGCACACCCTGCGCAGGGCAAGGTCAGCCCGTGCAGAAAGAGCCTTGGCTGGAGCCTGGTCCTGCCCAGTGGCTGCTCAGCACTTCGGTGCCCACAAGCAAAGGGCTGTTGGAGGAGGGAAGGGGGTGGTGGGGGATGCTG